AAGTGATGGTTGGAAAATGTGTAATGCGCTGAGAATGAGAGATACTATTACCTTCCAGCTAGCACCTCGAGAATTGGCTACGTTGAGAATGAAAGATACCATTACCTTCCAGCTAACGCCTGGAGAATTAGTAGAGGTACCATTACCTTCCAGCTGGTGTCTGGTAAATTGGCATTTCATTGTGGAAAGATGTATCATTGGCTTACCATGCTTGAGGCTGGTAGAGCGGAATTTATTTAATATTATTGCTTTGGTATATTTGAGTATGTCATGTGTTATGATGGTTGTGGTTTCTGGAAAGCTGAATTTCCTAAATGGTAGAAGTAGATAGTTGTTGAATGCTTGTTGTGTTTCATTTCATACTAACGATATACTTACATGGGCATGAATGTGTGGTAAGAAGACATGAGTAATGTGTTGAGATTGTAAGTAATGTGAAAGTTATCAGATATTCGTGAACATGTTTTTAATAAGTCAAATCAGGTGCAAATCTAAAAAGCGTGAGAAAGTATAAAAGGTTTTTTTTTGGTGAAACTCTTACTTTCAGAAATTTGTTACTGTCAGATAAGTCTTTGGCAAGAGGTAATAAGAAAAAAGAATGGTGAATTGCTTACGTTGTGGAATGAAATGAATGATTTTGAGAAAAGTACTTATATGCGGATATTTCTGTATAAACCATCACATTATTTATATAGTATGAGACTAAACATTCATGATCATAACTATCTATAGGTTATTGTTGTTGAGGATCATGTTGAGATCCCTACTGGACTATATGTTCATCCCATGTTGCTAATCTTTTTCAGGTGAACATGGAGAAGTGTTTCAAGGTCATGGATCTTCTTTATCTGTTAGCCACGGGGCATTTTATTTGCGGGCGGAATGCCATTTGTGTAAAAGGGTTGAGCCCTTCATCTATTTTTTTTTAAGATGTAAGCCTTCAGGCAATTTATTTGGATATACTCCTGTTGCATTAATTTTATATTCGAATAAGAGAATTATTATTTATATATTCCTTGTAAATATAACGAGCTTCTGTATGCTATCTCTGAAATTGAATTTATACTAATGGTTTTGGTAATGGAATCCAAGTAATAAAAAGTGGGACGTGACAAGGTAAGGGGAGTCAAATGAGAACTAGAATCCTTCGCACTACACCAATTCGGGCTGAGACCGAACTGAACTTCAGCAAAAAGGAAACCTCGCCCAATCTAGTAGGAATGCCTGAAGGAAACGTATCCCTGAGGCCTTCTCGATAAAGTTCTTTGTTCACACGCATTCCTTGATTCTAGTGACCAATTGAATATGGGAGAGGGTCTTGTTCTATCTTGAGAGAGAGGGGACAACCAGACTGTGACGGTTTAGTTCTCTCTACCTCTGCAAGGAAGTGGTGGAACCCCTTTCCGCGTGCTATACTATACTGACTATAGGCTCCTGGCATAAATTGAGAGTAGGGAAGGATGCTATTTCATTCTCTTAGATCAAGGAAGACTCCAAAGGAGCTCTTTTATTGAAGTGTCTACTACCCAGCTTGGTTACCCCAATCCTTATGTATTTTCATGCCATGATCTTCTCATTCCCTGTAACAACAATCCAATATCTAAATCTTGTTGTTGCCACTAGTCCAGTACAAACCTTCTTGTCCGAACTATCTATCCTCACACCAATCCTATGGTATTAGTTATTATTACCTATGATTCTAGAAGTGATAGAAGTGAAAACAACGTAATCTCCGATCGAAGAATACAGAGTTATTGAGTTTAGTAAATAGAATGTTGGACAAAACAAGGTACTGAACTAATTAAAGTATAGGATTTAAATTGTTTAAATTGAACAAAAGAGACTAAAATGAAATTTGCGTCAAAATATAAAAATAAAAAGTGTAATTTACCCTTGAAATTATTTATAACATATCAACAGAATCTCAACAACCTTTGCTAACGGTTAACGTGATGTCAAATTCATACATTATAGTTATGCTCGAGTTAACCAATTATTGTTATTATTATTACTTTGTTATTTATTTATTTATTGTTGAAAGCTACGTTTTCTGAAGATCTCATGAAGAGGGTTCTACTTTGATTTTTGGCCAGAGACCTGAAGAAAGTTTGAGCCACTACTGCTTAAGAGGTTATACACAATTTCACAAAACAAAAGAAAGGTTACACTGGTAATAGCTTAAAACTTACAAATTTTGCAAGGCCAAGCCTGAGACAGTGCATAAAGTTTGTGCGATAGCAAGGAAACAAGTTGCATTGACCTCCAGAGACTGAGCTAACTTAAAATTGCTTCATTAGGTTCTTTTTTATTCTAGAAATATTGGTGGGAATGTTTGGAAATACATTCCTATTTTGGTTAAAATGGTTGCTTGTTCGAGATTCGGAAGTGGGGACGCTGTTGCGCAGCCTGCGCAGCAGCGTCTGCTGTGCGGCGATTTGGGCCCATTTCGGGGCCCATTTTGATAATCCGAACTGTTCACATTTTAGAATATGTTAAGTAGAACATGCTTGCAAAAAATCAAGTTAATCGGATATCGTTTAGCTATTCATCCACTCACATTTGTATCTACAAAAATAAATGCAAATGTATTTTAACTTGATTAAAATGAATACAAATATGAGTGGATGAATAGGTAAACGATATCCGATTAACTTGATTTTTTGCCTACATGTTCTACTTGACGTATTCTAAAATGTGAACGGTTCGGATTATCAAAATGGGCCCAAATCGCCGCACAGGAGACGCTGCTGCGCAGCAGCGTCCCCACTTCCGTTGGATTCACCATTTGTAATTGTTTTCATATTTTGACACACAATGCTATATGTACCTAACATTTTATCTATTATTATACCATGTAAAATTTTAGATACATATAAAATTTTTCTTTAATCTGATTGGCTCTTGGTTTTCTTTTTCTTAAATTGGGAATTTTTTCATTGTGTTTTAGCTTTTTTAGAATTCTTTTTTCATGTTTATGGTAAAAAAACAAAGTTCAAGTGTGTTCATATCATTTTGTTTTTGTGCGAAAATTGTGGGATGTACTTTAGTGAAACCTAATGGATTTATCAAATCGGCTAATGTGATGAAATCTCACACAAATGTGTTGGGTTTCATGATATGAATCGTCGAGATAAGAATAAGAGTCAAACTTAATATGAGATTGCTAAGGTAAGTAATCCCAATGAGATAGAGAATTACTTAAGTTAGATAAGGAAGGTTCCTCAAGGATAGAACTTAATTCAATTGGGAAAGGATTCGTAAGTAAATCCTAAGTAAGGAATATTTGCTTGGCAAGTTTATTACTCTTATAGCTTACACTCCACAAGTTGAGATATGAGTTCTACATAAAGGCCTACACTCTATCAGTTGATGTATGAGTTTTTAATTTTTAGAATTAAACTGAAATATTCACGAAAGAATTGTTGACTTAGATCTGGGAGTGGTTTCTTGGTTGTGGCAGCTTGACAGGTACTAACCTTACACACATTTATCTTCGATCTTTTTCATCCTCCCGTCACAGTTTTGGGAAGTCATTTTTCATCGATTTTTTTCCGCACAAAATAATTTTATGATATTTTATATAAAAAATTCAAAAATAGTTTCAAAAATAATTCTCAAAAATAAACTTAATTAAAAATATAAGACAAATTTCACTTTCGACAGCATTTATTAGACAATGTCAGCATATTTCTAATCCATTGCCATGTGTGGTGTCCAACTAAATAGTCAAACTTTTGATTTTTGATTTTTTTTTTTTTATTACATTTGATTCTAAAACAAGACCACTAAAGCCATATAAAATTCAAATCTTTATTCTTATGGAAAAAAATTAAACCAATAACATGTGATCTAGGAAACATGGGTACATAGATACAAAACATTACAAGTGTACATATATACAAAACATTACAAGAAAAAAAATATATATATATATATATAATACAAAAGTGTAGAAAAAACATATTTTATAATTGTGTAAATTACAGTAACACCTGAAGAGATTTGGTCTAATTATATTTCACCCTTGGCGTTTTAGAAATTACATTTTTACCCTTATAGTTAATAGTCTCATTTCACAAACTCCTCTGCTTATATAAAAAGCAACAACTCCTATTAGAAAAATAGAGAAAATCACATTAAAAAAAAACTAAGTAAAGGAAAGGAAAAAAATAAAATAAATAAAGCAAAATAAGAAAAGAGAGAGTGCATAAGTTCAATATTTTCATTCTGTCCAAATAATTACAATGACAGGAAAATTAGTGTAATTTTTCAAATGAAAATAGGTGATATACATTAAACCTAAATTTCAGGAATGTAGGTGTAATTTACCTTTTATAATTTGAAATAGCATATGATATAAAATAATTAAAAAATTAAATATAAAAATGAATTAAATTAAGATATAAAATAGAATTTAATATCAAAACAACCTATAAATCTATATAGTGGTCGAAAATAGAACTCTATGTATTTTTTTAAATATTTTCTATGAATATATATATATATATATTTTTATGACCTTTATATATTTTTCAAATTATAAATTTCCATGATTTATTTTGTCGTATGAGATGTATATTTGCAGAATAATTTTAAAAATAAAAAAGAAGAACAAATTATAGAAAAAAAAAACATGAGTTTTAATATTTATTTCTCATAAAAATTATTTTAATTTTGACTTAAATTCGAAATTTTTTTAATGGTTTCTTGTCTTACTATTATTTATTTAAAAAATTTTTCCACAGGTTTTAATAATAATAAAAACCACGGGTACAAAGCCACGTCATATGAGGTCATGAAAGACGACCGCTCGCCACTAGGATTCGTGCTGGCATAACGAAGCCACCTTCATTCGGGATCGCTGACATGTACGGCCCAGATTTAATCTCACCATGCTACTAGATTTTGAGTCTTCTATTTGAGATCTCTCTCTCCTTTTTTCGTCCCTTTTTTTTGGCCTTTCTTTCTCGTCAGTCTCCACTTTCAATTTCTTCTCTCTCTCTCTCTCTCTCTCTCTCTCCCAAATTTTCCTGGTTCCAAATTCTCGATCTGACGCCTCTCTCTCTCTCTCTCTCTCTCTCTCTCTGTCTTCGGCACAAAAAAACAAGATCATCAACAACCGGATCAAGATCTGTGATTCTATACGAACATTCAATAATCTTATCGTACAAACTCTCAGATCTAGGGCAAAAAATTATACAAAACCCTAATTTAAATTTCTGACCTTTTTGTCAATTTGTTGAAGAAGATCTGAATATATGAATGTTGTGTGTTTATATATATAAGTGATTTTGTATAACATATGCTCGTGGTGGTACCTGATTTGGATCGATTTGTAGAATTTAACAATCGAGAACAAACCCTAGTAGGTAGAATGGGAAGAGAAGAATGTCAAACAGTTGAAGATGTGGAGGAAGGCGAAATATCTGATTCGGCTTCGGTCGAAGAGATCAGTGAAGAGGATTTTATTAAGCAAGAGACTAGTAAGGTTTCTGGGAATTCTGAAAGTGCCGAGAAGCCTAGGGTTTGGACGATGCGAGATCTGTATAAGTATCAGGTTTCGAGGAATTATGCATCTGGCCTTTACAATTTTGCCTGGGCACAGGCGGTACAAAATAAACCCCTCGATGAGGTTTTGGTGATGGATTACAAAACCAGTGAAGACAACAACAACTCCAACTCCAACTCCAACTTGAAGCGATCGTCTTCTTCGTCGTCGTCAATCAGTGGCAAAGAAGACAATAATAAGTCCAATAATGGTGGTTTAAATTCGGTGGTGGTGTCCAAGGAAGTGAACGATAAAGTAATAATTGATGTGAGTGGTGATGAGGATGAGGATGTTAAGATGGAGGATGTTAAGATGGAGGATATTGCTGGAGGTGAGAAGGAGGAAGGGGAATTGGAGGAAGGTGAGATTGATTTGGACTCAGAGCTTGTTCAGGTTCAGGGGATTGAAGATGTGGGTTTGATGGTGGTGGATGACGTGGATGCAAATAAATTGAATTCTGTTGTGGAAGAGAATGAGTTGGGGAGGAGGGTTAACTCCATTCGCGAAGCACTTGAGACTGTAACAATGGGCGATGCGGATAAGTAAGTTGATTCCTTCCTGGGTGAATTTTGGGAATGCAGTGATTGATGGGAACTGTCCAATTTGAATTTTTTTTGACAACTGTCATAATGGGTTATATATAGGATTAATGTTGTTTTGATTGTTTATTGTAGGTCATTTGGTTTGGTTTGTTCCCAATTACAATGCTCATTAGACAGCTTGTGGGAAGTGGGTTCGGAAAATTCTATTTCTGTGACAGATGATCTTGTTCAACTTTCATTTACTGCATTACAGACTCTGAATTCTGTAAGATATCCACTTGTTTTTCTGTTCATTTCCCTTTCCTGATGGGATCACATTGCTGGTTGTGTTGTAACCATTCTAGAGGCTAAAACTTAATTTCTTGCAGGTGTTCAGCTCCATGAACCAAAATCAAAAGGAACAAAATAAGGAAATTATATCAAGGTTTCTGTTATTGTCTTTGCATTGTAGTATTTGCCATAGATTGGACTTTTATCCCGTGTTTAATCTGAATTTGGTTACAGGTTGTTATCTCATGTCACAAGCCAAACTCCTCCTATGTTTTCTCCTGAGCAGATGAAAGAGGTCTGTTCTCTGCAAAACTTATCTGCATAGGGAAAATTTCCTGTAGTTATTAAAACTAACATTGGTATGTGTTGTCACAGATAGAGTTCATGATCCCATCTTTGGATTCTCTTGCTGCTTTGCCATCTTTGAAAGGCAACAATAAGGAAAACAAGATACAGTTAACTGAAAGGGTGAATCAGAAAGACTCTGATGCTTCATCTGATAATACTACTCATGATTCGACTGATTCAATGAAGAGAGTGTTAGAATCCATGTCTCTTGAATCTCTGCATCACAATGACGCCAATACATTGATGGAACCGTTGAAATTAGGACCAAGTAGTTCTAAAGTTAGAGGGATGTTACTTCCCCTGCTTGACCTTCACAAAGATCATGATGCAGACAGTCTTCCATCCCCAACACGGGCAACCCCATCGCTCTTGTCAGTAAGCAACACACTGGCTGTTGGAGGTGGACCTGTTAAACCAGAGTGGCCTGTACCTCGGGCAGCTCGTGAAACGGAAGATGTTGTAATGCATCCTTATGAAACCGATGCCCTCAAAGCTGTTTCTACATATCAAAATTTGGTCGCAGTTCTTTCCCTATGAATGAACTTCAAGCCCAACCCTTCTTGAAGAATGTGATGGTGGAGATGGTGATACTGGTGGGGAGGTTTCTAGTTCCCCCATTGTAGGCAGTTTCAAAACTGTAAATGCACCAATTTTGGCACAACCAATTGTTTATCCTGCACCACATGTGGACATTTCCAATGGGCAAGGACCGATCAATATTAGGAATGTTGGGCCTGTGAATGTGGGGCCTAATACTGCATTAAAATCTTCAGTGAAGAGTAGAGATCCTAGACTTCGGGTTGCCAGTCCTGATGTAGGTGCTTTGGATCTCAATCAACGTCCATTGCCTTTGATTAAGAATGAACCTAAAGTGGATGCTGTTGGGGAAATAGCAAGCTCAAGAAAGCAAAAGCCTGTTGAGGAGCCTAGTTTGGATGGCCCTGCACTGAAAAGGCCAAGGAATGGGATGACTGATTCTGAGGTCATCAGGGATGTGCAAACTGTGTCTGGAAGTGGTGGCTGGTTAGAGGATAGAGGCACCATTGGACCCCAGTTCAGTAGCAGCAAAAGCCAGGTGGTGGAGAATACAGGAGGTGATCCATTGAAATTCGAAAATGCAGTAACTTGCTCTGGTACAGGCATTGTTATGCCAAACGTAACAATTAATGGAAAAGAGCACTTGTCAGGGACACCTACTGGCACTACATCTTCCTTGCAATCTTTTTTGAAAGATATTGCAGTGAATCCATCCATGTGGATGAATATAATTAAGATGGAACAACAAAAGTCTGTTGATTCTGTAAAAAGTTCCACACATATGCCAAGTACAAATTCTATACTAGGAGCAGTTCCGTCAATGAATGTTAATCTTCCTAAACCCGTGCTTGGCAGAGATCAGCAGGAATACTTCAGACTCCTCCTCAGGCTTCAATGGTGAGGATTTAATATGAGGTCTTTCTGGAAAAAAAAAATGAAAAAAAAGAAAAAGAAAAAAGGAAATAGAAAAAGAAGGAATTAATTTTGTGTAAACAATGTGCTTCTTCATTTAAAATATCGTCATTGAAAGCTTACCTTGTTTTCTGTTTTCCCTTCTCTCTTGTGCTGCAACTCCATAATTTCTCTTTTTTTGCCTCCACTCTTGATGAATAAAGTTGCCTTATGACTGCAATAGTTGATAATTCCTATGAGATCTGAAATTTGAATTTTAGATATGCACCACAAATGTCATTTAGTCTGAAGTCTGAACAGTTATTTCTATTTTTCATTTTTAACTTGTAAATGTTGTAATTTGTTTGATTATTTGATGTTGAATTGATCTCTCATTGTGAATTTGAGTATTTGTTTGAAGATGCTGTCTGACATATATTGTGTTAGTTATAACTAATATTTCTGTTGTCTGCTTCTGGTGAAATTATGTAGGATAAGAGGCCCTTATTGCTTGTCAAATTAAATGTTAAGTCATTGAATTTAGATTATGTAACTTTCTTTCCTGTTTGCGACATTCTGTTCTCTGTTCAATGTTAATATTATGGTCAAAGTTTTTGATAACGTCCAATAATTTACAAAACTTGCAGGATGAATCAGGAAAAGTCCGCATGAAACCACGTGACCCTCGACGAGTTCTACATAGCAATAGCTTTCAAAAGGGTGGGAGCTTGGGACCTGATCAGTCCAAAACAAATGCTGCTACTATAGCGACTTCTCAGGAAATGAAAGGCAACTTGAATTGTCAGAAGCAAGAAGATCAATCAGATAAAAAGTCCATGCTTTCTCAATCTATTATGCCACCGGATATCACTCGTCAATTCACGAAGAATCTGAAAAATATTGCTGATATTATGTCTGTTTCTCAAGCATCTATTGCTCCACCCGTTATTCCTCAGATTCCTTCTTCACAGCCAGTGCAAGTTCACTTGAACAGAGTGGATGTTAAAGGTGTAGTACCAGAGTCAGGCAACCTGCAAAGTGGGACTGTTTCTTCAACTGAAGAAGTTACTGTAGGCCCCTCTCAGCCACAGAACACTTGGGGAGATGTTGAGCATCTGTTTGATGGATTTGATGACCAGCAGAAAGCTGCTATCCACAGAGAGAGGACTAGGAGGATTGAAGAACAGAAGAAAATGTTTGCAGCACGTAAGTTGTGTCTTGTATTGGATCTGGATCATACACTTCTTAATTCAGCCAAGGTATGGCGATTTCTTGGTATATGATGTGATTGTTGTTGCTAATTGTTGCTTTATAGCAAAGACTCTGAAAACATTATATATATTTTGAATTTCTGTCTGTTCTTTCAGTTTGCTGAAGTGGACCCAGTGCATGATGAGATATTGAGGAAGAAAGAGGAACAGGATCGTGAAAAGCCATATAGGCATCTCTTTAGGTTTCCACACATGGGAATGTGGACTAAATTGCGGCCTGGGATTTGGAATTTTTTGGAGAAGGTAATTGTAGTTTTTGTTAAATTCTTTGGGCTAATGCACAGTTGCTTGTGAAGCTTACAATGCATTCTGTGTTTGCACTACAGGCTAGTAAGCTTTATGAACTGCATCTTTACACAATGGGGAACAAGCTATACGCTACTGAGATGGCAAAATTGCTTGATCCGAAAGGGGTCTTGTTTTCTGGACGAGTTATTTCTAGAGGTGATGATAGTGATCTTTTTGATGGTGATGAGAGGGTTCCTAAGAGTAAGGATTTGGATGGGGTTTTAGGTTTGGAATCGGGTGTGGTAATTATAGATGATTCTGTTAGAGTCTGGCCACATAACAAACTAAACTTGATAGTTGTAGAAAGGTAATTATGCCTCTGATCTTTAAAATTATCCAATTTTCTTTCTGCCTGTTTTGCTCCTATGTTCTTATCTTCAACCATCTGTTTTGCAGGTATATTTATTTTCCTTGCAGTAGACGACAATTTGGACTTTTAGGTCCTTCTCTCCTTGAGATTGATCATGATGAGAGGCCAGAAGAAGGAACTTTAGCATCCTCGTTGTCGGTGAGATTTTGTCCCACTTACCATGAGATTTTATAAATAATCATTCGTCTTTTACCTCCCTGTTTACTTGTTTGTTGCCTCAAAAAAATAGGTGATTGAGAGAATACATCAAAACTTCTTTTCACATCGATCCTTAGATGAAGTTGATGTTAGAAACATCCTAGCCTCCGAGCAACAGAAGATTCTTGGTGGTTGCCGCATTGTCTTCAGTAGGGTGTTTCCAGTTGGTGAAGCCAATCCTCACTTACATCCCTTGTGGCAGACAGCTGAACAGTTTGGGGCTGTGTGCACCAACCAGATAGATGAACAGGTCACCCATGTAGTTGCCAATTCACTTGGGACTGACAAGGTATTGTTGGTTATTCATTTTCTGCCTTCTAAAAAACACAACTCGTGTTATTTATTTATTTTTTCTCACCAATCTGATTTATAGAAAGATAAAAAACAACGCCTAATTAGTACACAACAATGTGTGTTTGGTAGGAGAAAAATTGGATACACAACTAACTTTTGGCATAATGCACAAAGTGGTTGCTCCGAAACTTGAACTCATAACTTCAAGGTTATTAGGTCAAGATTTTACCATTGAATCAATGATCACCCCAAGGTTATTTTTCTTTTACGTTTGGATGTAGAAAATCTTAGGGACATTCAAGATTAATCATGTAGAAGTCATATGTTGAATGGGGATGGAAAAAAAGAGAGTAGAAAGGTAGCATGTGGGAGAATGTCTTAATAAAATCCACATGGTGGTTAAAGGCTCCATCTTTTTTGTGGTTTTCTGCTATAAGTTTTTAGACGTAGGCAATTGAGTCGCTCTACTTAACTTCTGCAGTGGATTTTGTTTCTTGTGTGTGTGTGTGTTTTGTAAAAAAGGTAGTGTAATATAATTTAACTGTGTCTACACAAATGTGGGTTATTCGTTGCACAAAAATCCATGTTTGGTAAGCCACATAATGGGAAATTTCTCTGAATGCTTGTGTACCTGATTTGAATTCAACCTTGAGATATTGCAAATCATAGTCACTTGTTTAAGGGCCTGTTTGATATTGCTTATCTTCAAGTTGAAAGTTGATAATCAAAAGCAAAAAATAAAAGTAGCCCTCCCGTTAAGATAATCAGTTTTTTCAGATTATTAAAGTTATTTCTGGCTCATAAGCCATAAGTAGAAGTTGTAATAAACATATGACATAGATTTCCCCCCAACCAAAATAAAAAATAAAAAATGCAGCTATAGCCATATCTGTAGAGGCTACACCAAACAGGGCCTAACACCTGCACGTCAACAGAAGCTATCTCTGTTTTTCAGTGCAAGGGCTAACTTGGGTTGTTTCAAACAGGTCAATTGGGCTCTTTCGACAGGAAGATTTGTTGTACATCCTGGCTGGTGAGAACTACTGACCCCAGTTCTAAATTCGATACAGCGGTATTTGTGATTGCTTTGTGTTTGAATTTAACATGGTATTATTTATATTTTTCTGACACAAAAATTTACAGGGTGGAAGCATCTGCTTTGCTTTATCGGAGAGCAAATGAGCATGATTTTGCCATTAAACCATAAACAAATCACCATTGATCCCAACCTGATAAACTATGACCTGATAAGAGGGGAAAAAAATTTGAAGCATCCATTGGAGTTGGGGGAGGGACCATCACCAGGTCATGCTAGGGCTTAAAGCGTGAGAATAACGATTTCCTAATTTTTACTTTTCGTTAATTGCCCTCTATAACCGCGGCCATTTCACCATCAATTTGCCAAAATGAAGTCCATCTGACTGGTTGATTGAGGCAAATATAAAATTATACAACCCTAAAACATTTTCCGGTACTGGATTAGGCTATAAATGACCATGTGGAGGCTCTGGAGGGTTGGTGACCTGGGTTGATTTAGGTATCTTCGGCTTATGAAATTGCCTATCTGATCAAGTGAATTTTCAAGTGGTTTCCAACGCTATGGAGAAGTTTAAAATGTATAGTTTTGATGAATTTAAAATGTGGAATTTTGCAAGTCTCTAATTA